ATGATGATAATGAACTAAACCTCTGAACTGTCAGCCAGCCCCAATTAAATGTTTTCCTTTATAAGAGTTGCCATGGGGCAGGATGGTGGTGGCCCATGCATGCCTTTAATCCCAGCGCTCAGGAGGCAGAGGCAGTTAGATCTCTGTGAGTTCAAGGCCAGCCTGGTCTACAGAGTGAGTTCTGGGACAGCCAAGGCTACACTGAGAAACCCTGTCTCAAAACAAACAAACAAACAAACAAAGTTGCCATGGGCTGGAGAGATGGCTCAGAGGTTATGAGCACTGACTGCTCTTCTAGAGGTCCTGAGTTCAATTCCCAGTAACTACATGGTGGCTCACAATCATCTATAATGAGATCTGGTGCCCTCTTCTGGCATGTGGGCATATATACAGGCAGAACATTGTATACATAATAAATAAAATAAATAAGTAAGTAAATAAATATTTTTTAAAAATTTCCCATGGTCTTGGTGTCTCTCCATAGTAATAGAAACCCAAACTAAGACACATGTCCTTAAAATAAATAAAAATAAATTTAATTAAAAAAGACACATGTTCTTATAAAGGCCTCCAGCAGAAGGCATGGCCCAGACTAGAGGTGGGTCTTCCCACCTCAAAGATCCAGATTAGAAGTGGATCTTGGAGCTGGAGAGGTGGCTCAGAGGTTAAGAGCACTGGCTGCTGTTCCAGAGGTCCTGAGTTCAATTCCCAGCAACCACATGGTGGCTCACAACCATCTGTAATGAGATCTGGTGCCCTCTTCTGGCCTGCAGACATACATGCAGGCAGAACATTGTATACATAATAAATAAATAAATCTTAAAAAAAAAAAAAGAAGAAATGGATCTTACCACTTCAAATTAAATAAAAATTCCTACAGGTGTGTCTCATTTTTGGGTTTTAGTTAATTCCAGATGTAGTCAAGTTGACAACTAAGAACAGCCATCACAGCTGTCCTCAGCTGTCTTGGCTTGCTCACTCTTGGGACAGTCTCTGTTGTCACTGGAGTCTCCCTCAGAGTCACTACTAGCTGAGGATGACCTTGAACATCCGACCCTCCTTCTACTACGTCAGTACTAGGACGACAGGATGCACAGTGCCTGGGTGTGGTGATTTGAATGAAAGTGAACTTCACAGGCTCATCGATTGGGATGCTTGATCCTTAGCTGGTGGAACTGTTTGGGGAGGACTAGGAGGTGTGGCCTTGTTGGAGGAGGTGTGTTACTAGGGGTGGGCTTTGAGGTTTCACAATCCTACACCATTCCCAGTGCCCGTGGATCAGATGTAAACTCTCAGCTACTGCTCCAAATCCATGTTTCCTTGACTGTTCCCACGTTCCCCACCATGGTCAAAGAATCTAAGCTTTTGGGACTATGAATGCCTAAATGAAATGCTTTCTTTTTGAAGTTGCTTTGTTCATGGTATCTCATCACAGCAACTGAAAAGTAACAAAGGCACCGTTTATGTGGTGCATGAGTTCAAACCCAGGGCTTCAGCATATTAGTCAAGCGCTGACAAGCCAGTTTGCCGCCCTGTGTTTCCTCTGCTTAAGAGGATACCATGTTAGATTTGGGGCCTGCCCTGATGTAGTATCATGTACCCTGAGTTTAACTAGCTCCATCTACAAAGACCAGTTCCCAGGAAGATATTCATAGGTGCATGGAGTTACAAACTCAGACTAATCAGGGGCCACAACTGAGCCCAGAGCAGGCACTGGCTGTAAGGTCGCCCTTCATTGCAGAAACACGGTTCCTGGGGTCCAGAGTGATGGATTGACCCCTTCCTCAGAAGGGAAGCAGGCTCCTAGCTAGCACTGCTGGCTGAATTACAACCTCACCTGCCCATGTCACCTTGTCTTGTCTTAGGGCAGGAATGTGGCCCCAAGCCCTGTAGCTGCCTCCTTCTTGGCCAGTGGCACTAAGGGCACTGCCCAGGGCATTATGGGTAAATAGATGACAGTGTTTAGGAAGGAGCCTCACCAATAACAGGGACACTGTGCCACCACACCACAAACCAGGAATAGGAACATGACCCCTCACCATACCACAAAATAGGAATAGGACCACAGCTCCAAGACATACCACATACGACTGTTGTGAAACTATTTGAAATAAAACCTCCATCTTGGAGGGAAACTCCTTAAGGCACAGGATGTTTTAAGACAAGGTGACAGACCATCCTACAGGGAAGCTTCTTAATCCCAGGAAGTAAACAACGCAGTAGTTTAAGGAAGTCTCTGAAACCAGAATCACTAGTGTCCCCCGCCCCCCCCCCCTTTCCCAAGCATATGTAAGGAACAGGGGGACTGCTGAGACCCAGACAAAATGGCCCAACTGAGACAGAGCAGCTGAGCTGTCTAGCAGACAGCCCAAATGAGCGACCTGGTAAGGACACTCTAACCCTCAAGCTGTCACTCATGCTGAAGTGGTGACGCGGCTGTCTGTGAGTCATTTCTGCTGCTGTAAGTCACCAGCCTCATCCTGTGCGGCTTCGGTCCTGGAACCCTGACTAGGGGCACCGAGGGGACTTAGGAAGGACAGACACACTTTCAGGTGGGGAATGCACTAGCCACACCTCTTTCCTCCACAGCCCACAGCCCAGCCTCAGTGTGTTTATCATGTACATCACAGGGGCAAGGACCGCTAGCTGGGCAGGTGTTAGTAGGTGAGCAGGCTCAGGCTGTCAGCAACCAGGAGGAGGATGAAGCTGCAAGGCTAGTTTCTGTGCACATCACCACTCACCGGCATGAGACCCCCAGGAAGGCCTGGCCATCCCTCCGAGCCTCACCAGCCAAGGTTGCCACTCTCATGGGGCTGAGGCAATGGAATCCTTGGCATGGGCATGCGCACACCCTTCATTCATTCATGGCTTCCTCCATACAGGTCCCTATCCAGACACACACACACACACACACACACACACACACACACACACACACACACACGGACCCAGACACACAAGCACAGAATAAATAAAAATCTTGTATTTTAATGCCATCCATCATCATAATAAATAACTCACAGTAAATGACTGCATAAAGATGGTTTACAAAGCACCTTGATGTAGTGATTTGGTTCACATAAGAGGCCACCATGTGTACACACTGACAGATACCTGTCCTGGGCAGGGGACCTCAGGTGAGGAGGACGGTGAATGGGATAGATGAGTTCTTGGATTTTTTTTTTTTTTTCTTTAAACAAGCATTAATGTTTTGCCTTTTTTTTTTCCCAACAAAAACACCAAAGTGATGACTTTCATTTAAAAACACACCATTTTAAACAGCCTTCATTGTACTTGGCACACTGTGGTCCCCTCTTAGCTCAGCTTGAACTCTGAGCCATAGTCAGACACATCTCTGAGATGCTTGATTTTCCACCTCGTCTCGGGCAGGGCCTGGTTCCAAAGAGGAATTCAGGACCTGGGAAGTGCCAGCTCTACCCAGCCAACCTAGGCCACAAGCCCTGGGTCCTCCTGTTTCACCTGGCCTCTCTCTGGAAGATCCCAACCCCACTCCCCAAATTCTCACAGCTAGGGGACAGCAGGAAGGTCACACCACATGACTCCCTGCTCTTTTCCAGAGCCACCTGTGGGGTGCGTTTTCAGTCCACCAGGCTGGTGAGTCTGTCAGGTGACAGAACCTTCTAGAGACTTCAGCAGGGAGATCTTGTGCTCTGGGCAGAGTCTTCGTGGATGTTGTAGGGTTGAGTCCCTGGTTCCTGCTGTAGGGATTTCTCTGCAAAACACACGGGATTTTATCAAGTACTGAAAACTGACCATAAGGCCAGGTCCTACCACTGGACGGGATTTGAGGAATGACCGTCATCACCCAGGGTATGGAGGAATGACTGTCACCCAGGGTATGGTGCTGAGGAAGGAAGTGTGGGCCTGCCTGGGGCCAGGGCCTTTCCCAAGCTCAGGGCTTTCCTGGCACTCACCGGCCTCCTCCAGAGTGGTGAAGTACTGGAACCCCTTCAGGTCAGCGGCCAACAGTGTGCGAAGCACAGGCACCTGGGGGACAGACAGGCTTCAATCCAGGGCAGGGGATGGCTGCTCTGCAACATGGGAGAGGTAGACTAGTGGATGCCTAGTGTACCAGTGAGATTCTGGAGGAGGAGGAAGAAGGTGGACCTTGGGGTCCTCCTGCCAGAGGACCTTTCATAGGAACTGTCTCCATCATGATCTAAAATAAGGAACCTCAGCCCCCGACTGGGCACCATGATAAAAACACCGCCTGACTGAACAGTCAACACAGCAACGAGAACATCTGCTGGCACCACTCAGCCTTGAGAGTACGCAGAGCACACCCACGGATAAATCCTCTCCCCCACCCCCACGGTCCCCTCTTCCTCCCTATAAAGCCAGTGCCGCCTGGGCACAGTCTCCACTCTGTTCTGATCAAAGGACACCCCATTTCTGCAGAGGTTGGCCTCCTCTTTCTTTTATTTCCATATTTACTCATGAATCTTGATCTAACAACCATGAGGATGAGGGCTCTGCCTGCGCGCGCCCACACACACACACACACACACACACACAGCACAATGGGCACAGGCATGGCCTTGGACCAGGGCCCTGGCCTTAAGTTCCCAGCACTGGGAACACACACCACATGTGTGGGTCTGCACTGACCACAGGAGAATGAAGTCAGATGGTCAGTAACCTGCTAAGTTACAACCACAGCAGCAGAGAGGCCTCCACATGGGTCCTTATAATGATCATTTAGGATTTTAAAATATTTTAATTTTTGTTTTTGACAGGGTCTTACTCTGTAGCCATGGCTAGCCTTATACTTAAAGTGTGACCCAGGCTGGCCTTGAACTCATGTCAACTCTCTTGCCTCAGCCTCTTGCATGTACACTCCTTGCATGAGGGAAGAGTGTACATGCAATAGTATCTGTCCACAGGTGTCACAATAGCCCAGAGCCACAGGGAGGGCTGTGGACCCTCCTCTGAGGTGGCCTCTCCTACCTGCAGGCCAACGAAGGCCAGGGAGACGCCCCGCTTCTGGAAATCCTCCAGGAGCTCACTGAGCCCCACAACCACAGTGTAGTCTATGCTGCTGACATGCGTGCACTCCAGGACCGCGCAGCGTGGTAAGGATGCTGGGGAGAGAGGCCAAGAGTCTGTTACAGCACAAGGTAAAACATGGCTCTGCAGCCATGGCAGGGCTGAATGAAGCAAGGCCATCAAGAGACCGTTCCCCGGGGCTGTCACTGAGCAAAGGGGCCAGGGTGGAGGCAATGGCTGTCTGGAGAAAGCTGCTTCCTGCTTGGGTTCCCCGAATGTCAATTCCCCAGGCAGAGGAACAGGAGCACACATGGCCTTTGCTGAAACAGGCTGTAGGGGCGTCATGGGACTGTCCGATCCGCAGCAGACACTACTCAGAGGCCTGAAATGTGAAAGCAGGTGACTGTCTCCCCGACCACCGAGGCTGTGCCTGAGGGTGCTGAGGCTGTGGTGTACGTGAATGCGGGGGTGCGTGCTGATCTCTGCTCACCTTGGCTGACCCACATACCTTCCAGTGCCCGGGTCATTATTGCCTCTCGCAGGGCATCGATTGCAGGGAAGTACAGGCCACTGGCCGGCTGCAGGACAAGAACGTGTCCTTCTGTCACCTGGATGGAGGAAGGCAGAGTGGACGCCAGAGGCAGACGGGGCAGGATGAAGGCCTTAAACTCCCACTTTTACAACTGAATTTAGGTTGCAGCTCTCTGAGAGGGCAAGCAGGTGTCTTTGCCAACAAAGGGCCATCAGTCTACAAGGCCCGTATATTCAGGGTCGAGGGAGAGACCAAACACAGAGGTCTAAGTCACCCTCTCAGTGTCTCAAGGACAAACCCAGCAGCGCCTTCTGCTCACGTCCAAGCTGTGCAGATGTGTCCAAAAATGCTAAGACTAAACCTCAGCAAATTAGAAATACACTAACATCCTCCCTCTTAATTAAAAAAAAAAAAAAGAATATAGACTTGTGAGAATAAAAAAAATTGGCATGTGAAAAGAAAGAAAGAAAAGAACTACACTAATGTAAATGCTGCCTGCTTGACCAGTTATGTAGCTGACCCTGAAACTCCCTTAGCTGTGCTAGGGGGCCCGCACTCATCTCAAAGTCGTCAACATTTTGTGCAGGTGAGCGACCCCACATGCACGATGGGATAATAAACGCTCTTTGTTCTTCCATACTATTAGAGTCTGGGGTCTTCCTTCAGCGTTCCCGCGGGCCCTACAAGGATATTCTTCCAGGCTTTGCTCATTTGCTCGTGGACAGGCAGGAAGCCCTGACCCAAGCCTAGCACACGGGGTACAGCAGGAGGGGGAGCTGGCAGGGGAGCCCCCAACACCTCACACTCAGGAGAGCTAGAGATCGCTCTCCCTCAGAAGTACCGAAAACAGAAGACATCTCAGCTACCTTAGCAACCCAGGGATTCCCGCCGACATGTCCCCACTCTGGGCCTACCTGGGTCTTGGGCCTAGCCACAGAGTACAGGAGGATGAGCAAAGACACCAGGGTCCCGGCCAGGATGCCGTACTGAACCTCCCAGAAGCACAGCAGGAATGTCACGCAGAGTGGCAGCAGATCCAGCCCTAGAAGAAGTGAGGGTTCAGGGCACCACATCCTGCTCCCTGCTCCCTGGGCCCCATGGCCCAGTGGCCAGCCCTTAGCATCTCCTGGGTTAATAGTGGGGGTGAGAGCCCTAAAGATCTGTTACCAGAATAGAAGCTGGGGGCTGCTGCTGGCCCACAGACTACGGGCAGAGAATTAGGTCCTTGTCTAGCAGGGTAGGACTTGCCTGGCCCAGTCCCATCCCTCCAGTCCCTGTGAGCAAGTAGGCATGAGGAGGAGCTTGTCAGAGAACCCAGAGAAAAGGGACAAAGAGAAGGAAGGTGTGTGTGTGTGTGTGTGTGTGTGTGTGTGTGTGTGTGTGTGTCCATCTGTCTGTCTGTCTGTCTGTCTATATGTCTATGTCTGTAGTGGGTAGCCATTCCAGCTTGGATCTGGAAGCTCCAACCCCCATTGAGACTCTGGCAACTGTCACGCCTACGAGGGGGGGCGAGGGGAGGTGCTGGAAACTGGAGAGCTGGATGGGCAAGCGCTCGCTCGGGGCGCGCTCTCTGCGCCTGGACCCTGGATGGTGGAGATTGATTGTGCAGAGCTCCAGAGAACACCGCTAGATTGCTATACGCCTTCCCCAGACCCCCGCGACCTATCCATTCCTTCATTTGTAAGTCATCCACTAAATAAATCTTCCTTTTAACTACGTGGAGTGGCCTTTATAATTTTCCCCAATATATGTCTGTGTGTCTGTGTATGTATGTGTGATATGTCTCTGTGTGTGTGTGTGTGTGTCTTGTGACTCCCAGGATTCTCAGAGGACTCCTTGGCTGATGTAGTGTCCTGGGTTCAAAATACTCTTGACTCAGCCTGGGAATCTACTTCTGAGGCAGGAACCCAGACATGCCCACTCTCCATGGAGCCCCAGCTTCCTCTGGAAGCATCCATTATCCCCCCCCCCCCCCCCCCCCGAGTAATACACTTCAAGGCTGTCCTAAAGATGAAATGTGGTGACCCACGGAAAGACTGAGACAGAACAACCAACCATACCTACATCTGGTAACTGTGGCCAACGAGGAAGAAGGGGAGGCAGAAAGGTTGTTACGTGGGGTTGGGGCAGTCACCCACCCACAGGGAGAGAAAGGAAGATGGGAGGGGAGAGAGGGGACAGAATGGGGGAACCCCATTCTCCATTGAGCTTAGCTCTGCATGGACCAAAGTCCAGCTCCCCCAAGCAGATACCCCGAGTGACAATTATATTTCCTAGCTTTTCGTGTGTCCTTTCCTCAGTTTACCACAATGCCCCCGCTCTAGCCCAAGGTAGGGCTGCAGGCTGAGAGGGGTAATCAAAGATGCCCTTGGCATTCGGACACCATGTCAGAGGTTGCCTGCCTTGAGTGCGCACATACATACTCTTAACACGCCAGAGCGTCCTGAGGATCTTGGCATCAAAGAGCGGGGCCACAGCCATGATGATGACGGCGGCCAGTGCAGACTTGGGGATGTAGTAGAAGAGTGAGGTCAAGTAGTCCAGGGACAGCAGCACCAGCACACCTGTGGGGGAGGGGGTCCCACCCGGCACCCACAAAACCAAGTTGAGGGATGGAGGGGCCTGGTGTCCAGCGGGACACAGCTGTGGACCCACACAGACTTGGTACGAATGCTCTACGTAGTTAAGAAAATTATGGGCTCCTTCCCTTCTCCACCATGCCCATGCATGGACCCAAGGTAAAGAAGGTGGGGGACTCACCAGTCACCAGGCCCCCTGCCGGGGTACACACTCCCGACTGGGCATTCACAGCTGTCCTGGAAGACAACAGGAAGAAACCTGTCCATCTCCAGTGGCTGAGGGGAGCTGTCTGGCCTCATACTGGGGCTGACCTTGCAGTCAGATCTGAGATGGGAGTGAGGGTGACTGAATCCCTCAGTCAGCACAGCTGCGGGGCACTGGGCACAATCTCCATGGTTGTCTACATTTTTTTTCCCCCAAGACAAGGTTTCTCTGTGTAGCTTTGAAGCCTGTCCTAGAACTTACTCTGTAGACCAGGCTGGTGTCGAACTCCCAGAGATCTGCCTGCCTCTGCCTCCTGAGTGCTGGGATTAAATGCAGGTGCCGCCACTGCCCGCCTGTCCTTTGACAGTTTTATAAAAGATTATCTTGACATCATCCCCCATTCCTCTCTCGTGTCCCTTCCACTTCCTCTTTTTCTTCCTAACACGTCCCCTTCTTACTCACGCCTCGTCTGGACCGCCCCTGAGTCTAAACAGGGCCCCTGCATAAGCCTGGACGCGGAGCACAGGCAACTCACCACGGGCCACACTGGGTGGGTGGGCTGCCTTGCCTTCCCTAATACATGCTGTCTATTAAGTATGAAGACGTCAATCAAGAACCCCAATTCCTTTAAGATCTCCCGTCTTCTGCCCCCTACACCCTAAGTTCCTGCTGAGGAAGGCACAGTTCCCCTTTCAGCCATAGGACTTCCCCTCCCGTCTTCCAGACTCCAGGGAAGACTGCCTCCAAACCTGACTCATCAGGGCAGAGACTGAGAACTTCCTGTACCCATTTCTTTCTTTCTTTCTTCCTTCCTTCCTTCCTTTCTTTCTTCCTCTCCCTCTTTTTTCTCTTTCCTCCTCTCTCTCTCTCTCTCCCTCCCTCCCTCCCTCCCTCCCTCCCTCTCTCTCTCTCTCTCTCTCTCTCTCTCTCTCACAGTCTCTCGCCATATAGACCTGGCTATCCCAGAACTCACTATGTAGACCAGACTGGCCTTAACCTCACTATATAGATTCAGCTTCCGCTGCTTCCCAAGTGCTGGGACTAAAGGTGTGTGCCACAATGCCAGGCTCTCTCCCCACTTTCCTTTGGAATTAACTCAGGTACCAGCATGCCTAGATGGGCCAGGGACTTCTACCACTAAATGCAGTGCAGGGATGCCAGGAGCTATTCTGTAACCTTCCTTGCTGTGGGCATGGTCACAGCTTTCTAAAGGTCTTTAGAATGCCTGGGGGACTAATAGGGAGAAGGAAGAAATAGTCAAATGTGGTTAAGGGTGTGGTAGGGGAAAAGTGGTCTTTGGCCCCTGCAGACCCTAAGTGCACAGAAAAGAAAGAACATGGCCACTCACCGCCCAAAGCTGCCAGTGACTGGGTAGGACGAGACAAAGGAGCCCAGCATATTGGAGAAGCCTGAGGAGAGAACAGAGGTGATCTTTATCACACTCACCTGCGTTGGAGTCTAGGTATTTTGTTTTTTGTTTTTTTGAGACAAGATTTCTCTGTGTAGCTTTGGAGCCTTTCCTGGAACTCACTCTGTAGACCAGGCTGGCCTCGAACTCACAGAGATCCGCCTGCCTCTGCCTCCCGAGCTTAAAGCCGTGCACCACCACCATCCTGTGGAGTCTAGTTTTTTAACTCCCACCTCTACTTCTAGGTTTTTGCTTTTTTTTTTTTTTCCCTTGAGACAGGGTTTCTCCTTATAACAGCCCTGCCTGTCCTGGAACTCGACTGTAGACCAGGCTGGCCTCAAACTCACAGAGATCCACCTGCCTCTGCCTCCCAAGTGCTGGGATTAAAGGTGTGCGCCACCACTGCCCGGCCAGCCCCCAGTTTTTGCTATTTGAGACAAGGTCTCATGTATCCCAGGCTGGCCATGAACTTGATATGTAGTTGATAATGAACTTGTGGTCTTGTGTCTCTACTTTCACTGGGTGGTGAAATCACAGGTGTGGACCACCACGTTCCATCTGTTCTGGGTTTAAAGTAGAGTTGGCTCAGGCCAAGCTTGCCATGTGAAGCCTGATGACACCTTAGAGACAGCATCAGTAACTATGGAGAAGACATCTACCTGAGTACCTGTAACATGGCTGTTGTGAATGCCAAGTCAAGCTGAGGGACTGAAGGTCAAGGCCAGCGAGGTGCCTTCCCCAGGTAACACTACAGACCATATCAAATCCAGGACCACAGCCTTGCTGGACCAAGGAACTAAGATCTTGGCCCACACTTACCACACTCTGCCTACCTAACACCCATCCCACCCATGAACCTTTACAATGACCTATGAGGCAACTACAGGTTCAAGGCCTGCTCTTGGAACTTCCCTAGCACTAAATGTAAGGAAGCCAGTCGCCATGCCCTACTTAGACACAAAGCACGGACAAATGACCAATGGCCACACCACTGAAGAAAAATGACTCTGTCTCCAGCAGCCATTTGCTGCCAACAGCTCCTCGGCCAGGGTGGGTTGGCTGTCTTAAACACTGATCAGAGACCCCAATTCTTTTACATTCACCCTCTTCTGTCCCTACACCCACAGGCTGGGCTGACCGAGGGTCACTAGAAGGCGTGGGAGACTCACAGAAGAATGAGAAAAAGCCCCAAAGATTGGGGATT